CAATCTTGCTCCGTCACCCAGGCTGGAGTGCAGTGGCGCAATCTCATCTCACTGCAACCTCCGCCTCCCAGGTTCAAGCGATTCTCATGCCTCAGCTTCCTGAGTAGCTGGGACAACAGCCACGTGCCACCACGCATGGCTAACTTTTGTGTTTTTTGTAGAGACAGGGTTTTTCCATGTTGGATAGTCTGGTCTCGAACTCCTAGCCTCAAGTGATCCACCCTCCCTGGCCACTCAAAGTGCTGGGATTACAGGCTGAGCCACCGCAACGGCCTTGGCCACAGTTTTAGTGCACCATAGCCACATGTGTCTAGAGGCTACTGTATTGGAAAGCCCACATATGGAACACTTTAGTCATCCCAGAAAGTCCTGTTGGATGCTGAAGACGATGTGGCAGAAGCCTTATCTGAGTTGTGAATGTTCCTAGGCTTTGGTCATCAGCCATCTACTTTCAGTCCCTGCCTCGTTGTATCCTGGGTGCAGTGTGACCTTTGGCTGGCAATTTTGAGGCATCTTTGCTGGGCAGTGCTGTGACCCTATCCTAGCTGTGCCCCATATTGGCTGTATGACTTTAGGCAAGTTAATTAACCTTTCCAAGCCTCAGGTTTCTCATCTAAAAATGAGAATAACAAACCTAATTTCATCGTGAGCATTAAAGGACATAGTACCTGTGCAATACCTAATACGAAATACATAATGCAAGTTGGCACATAGTAAATTCTCAGTAACTGTTTATTTAGTCTTATTGTTATGAGCACTGTTATTCTGTCTCTACGTCTTGCAAATATAAGGCTGTTGAGGAGTATGCTTTCCAGGTAACATCACTCTATGCTTTATTTTTTTGATTTTGTTATGTAAGCAGACAGAGCAATGCAGAAGGTACAAGTGATTGTTAAGCAGCTCTGTGTAATTAAACTTTTGACAATATGAAATGTACATGTCACATAGTAAGTTCACTTCAAGAAACATATATTGATCACTTGCTACTTATTGAGCCCTTATAAGCTGTTACTGCACAAAAGCCCTGTGAGAGACCCCTTCAGTGATATGAAGAAGAATTGTTGCCCTGGAGGACCCTGTACTCTCATAGAGGGTGGGAGATGGATCAAGGATAAGGCGAGTATACACATAAGTGTGTGAGAAATGCAGTAGCCAGAATATGAGAAGAGACACACACAGAGTAGAAGAGGTAGTTCAAAAGGAAAACATGCTTATGTCCAGTTGGGGAGACAGGAAAGCCCTGTCGAGGGAAGTGTTAGCTGAGACAGACCCTAAGTTGTGGCATTTCACATTGTGTGATGTGACAGGATGGTTCTCCCAGGGAGGATGGGCATATAAAGGCTCATCCTTTACGAATGGATATAAAAGCAGTGTGTGTTAGAAGAGGAGCTGGCCTGGGGCTTGACCTCTTGGTCAAGGAGGTCTGGAAGGGGAAGCTGAGTCACACTGAAGAATGGTCTGCATGCCAGGCCCAGGTGTTGACCTCGCTGCGTAGGCCAGGGAGGAGTCATGGAAGGGTGTAAACTTTCTGCTTGGTTCCACTAGAGCTTTCAAAGAGAATGCATTCCTTTGGTGGGGCAGGGAAGATGGGATGAATGGCTGTGTTTGATCTTATAAAGTAACCAAATTTGTTAAATGGCATTTATTCAGCAGAGAAAAGAACAAAGTCAAGTACACAGGGCGCTCCACAGGTGTGTGGCTGTGTACAGGCATGCACTCTGCCATTTTTCATTCCCACAGGGCCACGCTCGCACTCTCCCTGGAGGGGCACATACCTCAGGGAGGCCCCAGGTGCAGATGGAGGCGGTTAAGTTGAGAACAATAGAGGGGGTACCTTTGCGCTTCTTCTTTTCTAAAATTGGGAAATGGGAGATTTAATGGAACACTTTTTGATCTTCACTTTATTTTATTCTGTTGCCACATGCCCTTGATTAGCTTTTCAAAATTAATGGGGTTTTTACTGCTACTCAATATCTAGATGCACATCCATAGCTAACTTTCTAAGCTTTGTGGTATCTTTGTTCCTCCACAACATGAAACTGAAAATGTTGAGCTTATTTCCTGTCATGGACTTGAGTCATTTCAATGGATGGCTAAACAGGAAACTGCCAATTAATCAGTTACGTGAAAAGTAAGAGCTGCCATAATTCCCCGTCTGCTCTAGGGTTTCTCATGAACTCTAGAGTTAGCAGGATGTGCAGAGCTATAGAATTTTTAGCATATAATTATATCTTTGCTTTCCAGTTTTAAAAAATATTGATTGTTCACATTTCAGTGATTTGAGATGGGATGTTTTTCATAGTTTTGAGGTATACATATTTAAGGGTAGTGTTTTCATCTATGAAGAGTTGCTAAGTTGGAGATAAATCTTTATATAAATGGTGTTTTAGAATCAAGGAAATGGGGCATTTGGTATGATTTCTGTCAAAACGTCAGTCTCTACCTTCCGTCCCAGTAGGGTAAGATTCAGATACCCTCATCGGGATGCAGCTCGGAGTCCCCTCTGACATCCTCTGGCGCTCACAGGAAAATGGTATCCATCTGTACTCTCTTGGTGCTTAGCAGCCTGGAATCTGTGGGAACTGCTGCTCAGGAAAGCTAGAGGCAGCTGGCTTATTGCTGGAGCCCCAGGCCACCACAGGCATGAGACAAACTTTAGAATCTCAATCTCTGTCAACTTCTCAAGAATGGATTGCTTTGGTCTGCTCATTTTGGATTATTCCTCTTGATTCCATCTCACCATCCTAAACAGTGCTTCCCTGGTCAGTGTTTAGCAAGCCCGTTGCCATGATGTTAAGGAAGGGGAGTTGGGAAAAGTTGTATGTAATCGGTTCTTCTAAGCCCACAGTAGTCAGCACATCACTGGTTCCAGGGACCTGGGGTTCAGTTGATAGAGATGCTGACTAGGCAGCTACATACCTGTTGCCTTACAGAGCCCTCTGGAGATGTTTTAGCCGTCATGGCTTCTTCTGCTCCCATGACCATCAAGTAACATCAGAATGAGCCTACTCTGCCTTCAGTGGTTTTGAATTAGTTTCCTGGTATTGTGCAGGTGGACAGAAAGTCCTGGCCCAATCCCTTCCTAGGCTCAACTTTTGAAGGGATGATGGCCTGGAAACTCATTGGCCTATACTCCGATCGTTAGGTATATAGAAGCCATGCAAAGCATTTTTTGTAAACATACATCTGAGAGGCAGGCAGGTAGATAGGGAAGAATGAATGGCAAGAGCTATTCCCAGGCACCACAGAACTCAGGTGGCAACCCAACATATACCTGGAAATAAACCTGTTATTATGGAGAGCCATGTTATAACAGTAGAAATCATAACTCAGTTCTAAAAATTACAATCTTTAATTCTACAACAGTAAAAGAGATATTGAGGAAATGACTAATCAGGAACATCTGAGGAAGGGAGCTTTTAAGGTTTGCAAGCAAAATAGCAAATGCCCACACCCTCTTGTAACCTTCAGCACTTTCTATTCTTACAGGATTTGGCCCTGGAAGAGGCTGTTCTGGAGGAGCTGACCCAGAAGGTAGCCCAAGAACACAAAGCCCACAGGTAAGGCAGGCGGAGGGTAAGGGGCTGCCCGCCACACAGATGTTTACTGTACACGGGCCAGGAGGCGTTTATCTCCCTATCTGCAACTCTGGGCTTGAGTCAGCACATTTGCCTTGCTTCCACCACGTGACTCAGCTCTGTACTTCCGTTCTGAAAAGGTGAATGTCGACTGGAAAACTGTGGTCTGGTCCTTCCCTCCCTCCCTTCCTTCCTTCCTTTCTTCCTCTGAGAATCTGGGAAGCCTGAGACAGCCTTTGCCAATAGAGTGAAGACCGGAAGTGCTGTGTTGGGTCAGAGGCAGGTGAAGGAAAGAAAAGGAGAGAAACTTCAAGGAAGCACCAAGAGTTTGATGTCAAGGCTTATGCAGTGATTCTAGGTTCTCTCATCCTGGCCTTTTTTTTTTTTTTTTTGAAAGGCAGAGCCTTGCTCTGTCACCCAGACTGGAGTGCAGTGGTGTGATCTTGGTTCACTGCAACCTCCGCTTCCCAGTTCAAACAATTCTCGTGCCTCAGCCTCTCGAGTAGCTGGGATTACATGCACATGTACTACCTCGCCCAGCTAATTTTTGTATTTTTAGTAGAGACAGGGTTTCACCGTGTTGGCCAGGCTGGTCTCGAACGCCTGACCTCAAGTGATCTGTCTGCCTCGGCCTCGCAAAGTGCTGGGATTACAGGTGTGAGCCATGGCCATTTAACTCCCAAAGTATTATCCTCATAATAAACCTTTTCTTTTTTTCTTGCTTTTAAAAAAATAAAATAATGAAGATTTCTCCCAGATGGGAGAAAAATAACTTCTTTTTAAAGCAGGCAGCATATTCAAAGGGATGTCTGGAATAATTATTTCATGTTTATAGGGCTGTGGCTCTTAATTAAATACTTTACCTTTCTCATATTATTCCATGTTGAGTGAAAGGCTACTGGGGAAGATGTTAATGAATTACTTAGTAATGTACCATACCCTCACAGTTGGGTAATGATTGCTCTTCCCAGAATCTAGAGCTAAACCACAGCTCTGGAATTTGCCATCAGGAGGGTGGGATCTTCCACTGGCTGTCCTTAACCATTTCCTCCTTCGATGCTATTTTGATTTTAGTGGAATCCTGCCAGCAGAAGCTGAACTGATGTACATCAACGAAGTCGAACGTTTGGATGGATTTGGACAGGAAATCTTCCCCGTAAAGGTAACATGCTGTGCCCTGTGTTGGTTTTAACCTTCTCAGAACAGCACTGGCATTTGGAAAATCAATGTTGATAGCAGTGGGCCAGAATGGCTTGGCCCTCTTTTTGCTATGCAGCATTAGTTGGCAAGTCCAATTTATTATAGATAAACAGATTTTTTTTCTTAACCAAGAGATTTTGAAGTTTTCTGTGGTCCTCAGCATAATAGCTCAATAAGACAGTCCATTTAAGTGAGTACCAAGCATCAGTCGATCCAGCACTTTGGAGGTATCAAGGCTGATATCCAGCCCTATAACAGGAGAAGTAGCCAATGTCATGTGTAACATTAATCAAGACTCTAGCCAGTAGTTTTCTTATTCTCTTTTCCTCTTCATTGAGCCAATACAGGGATAATTGTTTGTGAGGTAGAATGAAATGTCTCCTGTATACAATCGTATTTTATTTCTCCAGCTCTGTAGGGCCCTCCATTGTGGGTTCCCAGCCCCTTTGGTGTTTTATGGAAACTATGCCTAGGAAACTGCCACAGCACATCACATTCTTTGCAGCACATCCACCTCCTGAAGTGGGTGTGGTTGGGGGGTCATGGAGCCTAGTCATTTATAGAGCTGAGCCCATCATCCAAACTCATTTTCCACTCTCTGGTGACCTACTTTACAAAAAATGGAGATTTATCAGAAACCTAAAGCAACTGGCACATTTCAGCAATTTGGGAGACGCCTGCAATTTCAGCACAAACATTTCACTCCAGACTGGCTCCGCTGGCTGTTTTATAAGTGTTCAGTTCCCCCTCTGTTGCACGTTTGCAATTTGCCTTAATGAGAACTGCCCGTGTGCATCAAGTAGAATCGAGCGGGGTGGCCGCAGCTTTCAGAAAGGGCTAAATGGCTCTTTTTTAGATTTGTTTAATTTTCTTTTGCTTCTCTAATAGCTGCCCTTCATAGGGTTGTAATCCATTTTCCTTGCAATAATGCCTTATGAAGCCATCTGCATCCCACTTAAATTTCTGCAGCCCATATATAGTCATATTTTGGGTCATTGAAAAATCAGAGTAAACTTTTCTCCACTTCTAGAAAACTGACTTCTCAGTCCCTGGAATTTGGAAGTTTTGTTGTGGCGATTTGCTTGTGTTGTTTTTTAGTAATTCTGGACTGCGGGAAACAGGGGCTGTTGTGAAATCTGCTGTGGTTGGTTCTGATGTGCGTTCTAGTATGTTCTTTCTTTAGTGGAACCAACAGGGTTATAATACCTTCCTCTGAGTTGGAAGACAGGCGCCTCTGACTCATTGCCAAGATGGGGTAACTGAGCTGCACTGCCTGTTTTTCCTCTTCCCCCCACATATCTGTGCATACCTAAGGTGACCAACTATAGACTACATGATTTCTGGTGACCCAAGGATGAGCGTGGGATCGACAGTAATAGTGGGGGTAGTGATGTGGTCAGCTCTGCAATAGGTGAAAAAGCATACAAGAAAATATGCAGGGAAGGACTATGGGTGGGACTGGAGTCTCTTGATTGGCACAGGTTCTTATTGACAAAAGAAAAAGTGTGTCATGGTATATCCTAGGAAAAACATTTGAATTTAGCATGGGCTTTTTCATGAATGGTTCCTCAAAAATTTTCAAGACTGGAAGAGTACCAGTCCACTTCCTAACAAGTCTGCCCGTCCTCTTCCACGGATACAGGTGTGGCCCCTGCCTGAGTCGCTCCTGTATTGTCAGAGCACATAGACAAGGCAAAGTGTGCTTTTGGAATGGGTAAGGCAGAGTCTGGAGCCTTTATCTATTGCTAGGTTGGACTTAGAGCCCTTAAGCTTTGACCAGTGCAGTGTCCCAAGCATGCTGGGTAGAGTAGCTTCCAGAGGCACCCCTGCTGTGCATTTTCCATTGCCCCTCCCCCCACCCCCAGGTGAATAACACTTCCCTTATCCCCATCCCTGCAGATCCACCCACAAAGTGCCCAGGGAAGTGTTTCTGCAGAATTCCCCTTTCTCTAACTCCACTCCTCCTATCTTCTTTTCTCCTCTCTACCTTCTGTAGTGTAACCTACCATTTCAGCTTCTCAGAATCACCATTATGGGACGGTTCTCTTGCATCTTCGCTGGTTCTTTGTCTCTCAACACTCTTTTTGCTTTGCCACCAACAGGGATTGTACTTTCTTTCTCTGTTAGAAGACTCTTATTGGAATGTAAGCTTTAGGGGGTGAGTTGAGAAGTGTCTTCTTCATGCCTTAAATGGGATAGAGTATTCTAGGGAATGTAGAAGTCCTTCTTTTCCCTCTTAGTCCTAGTTGTGCATGCCCCCACTCTTGCTTTAGAAAGAAGGCAGTCCATCTAAGTGAGTACCAAGCATCAGCTGATCCAGCACTTTTATCCCCAGGGGAAAGCAGGATTTCATTTCAGGGACTGACAGTTTATCTACTAGATGTCTAGTTCCCACTCCGCTCTCAGAACCCAGGCAGCCAGGTGATGCTTGCCCAGACAAGAGATTGGAAGCACCTGACTGGACCAAGAGACCAGGCTGAAGATAAGAATACGACATCTGGGGTTCCCCAAGACAGGGCTTAGGAGATCAGCCACCAGTGAAGTCCACAAGCCCCTCCTGTGCTTAGAGAGCTCCCAGCCAACATTTAGCAACCGATTCTCAAATGCGAACGGATAGTCAAGCGTCACCATACCCAGTGTCCTAATAGGTAAGACAGAGGCCAACATCATAAGAACAGCCGTGGACTAGCAGACGCAGATATTGTACAGGAAGAAGAACCCCCTGCTCAAAATACTATCCAGTGAGCCTCAGGATTTTTTTTTTTTTTTGCCTCTTTGAAGGAATAAGGTACTTAAAAAAGATGCATTTAGAAAACAAAAATAAACCCTGAAATTAAAAATATGGTATCAGAAATGTACAACTTAATAGACAGATTAGAAGATAAAACTGAGACAATCTCACCAAAAAAAAAAACCAAAGTAATGGAAAGTTGGGGACGGGAGATAAAAAAGTTAGAGGACCTGTCCAGGATGTCTACTGTTTGAACAGTGGGAGTTGTAAACAGCATGAACAAGGGAAGTAAAAGGTAATTATTTGAAAAAATATCCCTGCACTGAGGAATGGGAGGCTCTGCACTGAAAGGGCCGGGCATGGTAGCTGCAAAGAGACACATCGAAGTCTTTAAGAGGTGAATCTTTTGGCCTCTCGGCAAAGGAAGTGGTAGGCACAGGTCTGCTCCTTGCTTCCTTAAACAAGCCCTGAAGAATATTCAGCTCTCAAACTATTGTATGTCTAACGATTTAAAAAGCAAAAGCTTTGGTAAGGTTAAAAAATGAAAGACATTAATAGATGTTCATAAAAGAGAAAATCCAAATGCCAACGAATCTGACAAAATCCAGAGATTCTCTCTTAAAATGCGTTGTGACAAATTGAAAAAAAAGGAAAAAAATATCTATTTCTTTCTATATATAGTCCACTAGGATGTGTGGTGGGTGAGTTCCTGTAGGACTTGACCCCACCGACACAGTTGGTCACCTTACTGCTCTGATGTTGTCTATGATTCATTCTACTCGTGCGTGAGAAATGGGGTGTGATACCTGTGGGTTTTGAAATGTATGTATATTGTGGAGTGGCTAAATCCAACCAAGTAACATATGCATTACCTCAGATACTTATTTCCTTGTGATAAGTGCACTTAAGATTTACTCTTTTAGTGATTTCAAGAATACAATATATTATGGCTGGGTGCAGTGGCTCACGCCTATAATCCCAAGACTTTGGGAGGCCGAGGATGGAAGATCACTAGCCTGGGTGGCATGGCAAGACCCTGTCTGAAAAAAAAAAAAAAAAAGAAAGAAAAAAAGGCATGGTGGCACATGCCTGTAGTTCCAGCTATGTGGGACCCTGAGATAGGAGGATTGTCTGAGCCCAGGAGGTCAAGGCTGCAGTGAACCAAAATCGTGCCACTGCGCTCTACCCTGAGCAACAGTGAGACCCTGTTTAAAAAAAAAAACAAAAAAACCCACCAATACATGTTTACTAAATATGCTGTGGTCACCATGAGATCTTGAACTTATTCCTCTTGTCTAACAAGTCTTTATTTCCTTTGACCATCGTCTCCCCAGTCCTGCCATTCCCCAGCCTCTGGTAACCATCAGTATACTCTCTGCTTCTATGAGTTCATTTTTTAGATTCCACATATAAGTGAGAACCTGTGGTATTTGTCTTTCTGTACCTGGCTTATTTCATTTAGCATTATGTTCTCTAATTCCATGTGTATTGTGGCAAATGACAATTGTGTTTTGTTTTAAGGCTGAATGGTTCTTCCTTGTGTATATGTACCACATTTTCTTCATCCATTCGTCTATGGATGGACACTCAGGTTGATTCCATATCTTAGCTATTGTGAATAATGTTGCAGTGAACATGGGTCATCACAGGTCTCTCTTGTTGGTCTTACCCAGGACAATCATGGAAACTGTGTACACCTTGGCATTTTCTTTATGGGGATTTTCGTGAGGAACAGAATTGGAAGACAAGCAGTAATATACAGGTAGTCTTGTTTGTTTTTCTTTTTCACCTTGAGGGACTCCAATGTTAATGTAAATTAACATGTTAATTAACGTTATCCAAATGAGTTAAGAGCCAAACTGGATTAGATTTGACCTTTCTCAGCTCATATAAAGTGAGCCCTCTGCAGGATTTAAGCAGTTAAATTCATCTCACTTTTTGTAGAAACCCTTTCCACCTGACTCCAGGAAATACATTGTTGAACCCTATTGAGTTAGAAGAGTGAAACTAAACTTCCTGAGTCTGGCTGGAAACTGACTCTCCAGTCAGTCATTAAATTTAAATGCTTCTTTCCATTGTTCTGCATTCTGTGCCTCACCACATGTGCCAATAGAGTGCAAACTGATTTTTATGTGAACAAAAGGTAATTATTTTTAAAAACATGTTTTGAAAATGCAATCTATTATGATGAATTAGAGGGCTTTGGTACTTTTAATTATTTTGACACGTCAGTCCTCTTTTCCACTTATCAGGCCTGGTACCAGTATAGAGATGCAGACGTCTCCTGCTGCATTTCATGTCAGTATGCTTGCTTTGTATTGGTGCCCTGAAAAACTGCTCTGGCTTTCATTTACAACGCAACATGGCCTGTGATTGGAAGAACAGCTTTCTTGTATGTGTGTCTGATAGGCGGATCTGTGTATCCAGGGCACATGATCAAAGATAGCCCTTGGAGGCACGCATGGCCCACCTTTTGGAAGTGACTCTTGATTGGCTATATACTCTTTGGATCAGCAGCTACTGTCGGTCACTTTGAGACAGTTTTCTACCCAAAAGCTTCCTGATTGGCTTTTATTTTCCTAGATCCCCAATCTGCCATTGTTTTTTTGATATTCTCTTGCTCTCTGAATAGAGACATTTTTGAAGCAGGAATGACAAGAGAGATCTTTCAGGATATAAGATAAACTTTTGGACTTTTAGACTTAGTGTCAGCTTCATATACCTGCCACAAACTATGAATTTATTGAGGAAAATATGTAAATATGTGCAGAGTTGTAACTATAAATTTTTATACCCATTCAAAGCTATCCAGGCATTTTGGCCTACCAGTTCTCCATAGTTAAACTGATGTTTCAGTTTCTCTTTGAACCTACAGCAGAGAAGTAAACAAGTCGTGCACACTGGCTTTTGAAGTGAAATAGAAGAAAATTGCAATTTGGAAATTTTATGAGCATAAGCCACTCACAGGTTTTGCTTAGTTTCCTTAGGAACTGCTTCCAGACTTTTTCATTTATCTTGAAACCACTACAAGACAAGAATTCACATCTACTATAGTGTCATGTTAATTATACCACTAGCTGAAGTCATGTGGTGGGGCTCTGAGTATATCTAGGATTTCAGCAGTTGATTTGAAGGAATGAAGCCAGAAGAAACCAAATATCTCTTATCTCTAGAGACCTTCACTAAGGAGCATGTAGCTATGAGTCCACGTAGATGTAATCTGATAGAACTGTAGGTTGTGAAGCAAGCTGGGTGCAGCACTTGTAGAGAGTATTGCCCCAGCAGACGTACCTAAAAACATTTGTTACTGATACAAGGGAATGAAGACTGGAGGAAAGTCTGGGAACTACAGGTAAAGAACTCATCTATCCCTGAGGTACAGAGGAAATGTGCTAAGTCAGATACTTATTTGTGTCTAAATTGCCTCATTTTAAAAGCAGGAGCAAAAATAGAGAGTTGCCATAGAGAGCTGTTGTAGGAATCGGAGTATACAGCTGAAAGGCAATATTATTGCTTTTTATTCTTCTAGCAAACATTTATTAAGTGCCCTGTGCCTGGTACTCAATTCAGTGCTTGGAACACAGAAATGAAGAAGGCAGAATCCCTGCACTGGATATGGGGCCTGTGGTCTACTTGGTCTCATTAGAGATCTCGTCACAGAAATAAAAATTATAATGCAATGTGGTGACCAGTGAGGACCACAGCGGGCTCTTGTCTCCTGTGGGTAGTGGGGAATGAGGAAGGGATTCCTAGAGAAGGTGACTCCCAGAGCTGAGTCTCAAACTTGTTATCCAAACAGAGGATGGTGGAAGTATAATGAGCAGGTGCATATGAGTAAAAAGGCAGTGGCAGGGAATTATAGGTTGGGGCACCGGGTGAAGGGTAGGTAGTGGTTAAAGATGGTTAGAAATTGGTTCCAAGTAGGATGGGAAGCGGTGGCTTATCTTTCCCCATCTGGTGCTTATTTTCATTTCAGATAAGGTCTCCATGAAGACAGGAAAGGAAACGCTCTGTGTGTGTGTATGTGCGTGTTAGATTCCAAAAGCGTAGTTATATTAAACAGTCCCTAGGAAACTCTGTGTGTGTGTGTGTGTGTGTGTGTGTGTGTGTGTGTGTGTGTAAGATTCCAAAGCATAGGCACATTAACAGTCCCTAAGAAACTGCGTGTGTGTGTGTGTGATCCCAAAAGTGTAGGCATATTAAACAGTCCTTAGGAAACTGTGTGTGTGTGTGTGTGTGTGTGTGTGTGTGTGTGTGTGTGTGTGTGTGTGTGTGTGTTAGTTAGATCCCAAAAGCATAGGCACATTAAACAGTCCCTAGTCATCTTTTCTTAGGTGGCATCATGAATCTGCAGTGCATATTAATACAGAATATGTGGATTCTTCTGTTTAGGTTCCCAGAAACACATGACTTTTTAATAATATATGCTCCTCCATCACTAAAAAGTGGAGGTCATGGGAAATGTTTTGTTACTTTGGAAATGTGAAAAAAATGGGAGAGGGGGCAGCAAAAGTCCCTTGCAGATTCTCCTCATTGCTAGTCACAAAGAATACTATACTTTATAAACAGCAATATCTAGACATACTTTATGTAGAGTTTTTAGCTATCTGAATGGATACGTGTTGCATTTTCTTTACTTTTCCCCTTTGAAAGAACATTACACTTAAAAATGGTTAAATCGTAATTTGTAAAATGAGATCCGATAGCAACAAACAACCCTCCTATGGTGTATCATAAATGCCTGGAACATCTTTGGGTAAAACACAGTGACATTCCTTTTGACCAGGTGGAATGACATGGGGAATATCACTCATAACAAGTCGACCATTCTAGTGGAGCTCCTCAATAAAGAAGAGACTGCCCTCTTTCACACGGTAAGCAAAACAGACAAACAGAGGCAGGGGCTGACAAGACATTGGCTTTTGGACTTTTCAACTCCTCATGTCCTTTCCTGGCTCTCCTTATCTTGAGATAATAAATATTCTCTTGAAGAGATGCTCTCTAGTACTTGCTCAATGCTATCATTACTCATTTCAAAATAGTGGTGCTGAAATACCCATGTTTGAAATACCAGATTTCCGGCCGGGCATGGTGGCTCATGCCTGAAATCCCAGCACTTTGGGAGGCCGAGGCCGGTGGATCACTTGAGGTCAGGAGTTCAAGACCAGCCTGGCCAATACGGTGAAACCCCATCCCTAATAAAAATACAAAAATTAGCCGAGCATGGTGGCGGGCACCTGTAGTACCAGGAGGCTGAGGCAGGAGAATCTCTTGAACCCGGGAGGCAGAGATTACAATGAGCCGAGATCATGCCACTACACTCCAGCCTGGGCAACAGAGCTAGACTCCATCTCAAAAAATAAAAAATAAAATACTAGGCTTCCAAGCTGACTTTTGACTCTAGGACCCTGGTCCCTCCACCTGCCTTATGTGTGATGGATCACGTTGTGTGGCACTCTAGTTACAGCCCTGCTCTAGTGACCCCTGATTCTATTGCATTGCATTTGCTTTTGCTGGTGGACCTGAGTTTTCTTTCCCATTGTAGCCCAAGCTTAATCTGAAGTAAGCTGAGCCATTGACCTTCTGTTGAGTGCCTTCTCAAGAGCCAAGGCATCTCACTGCCTCCAATTTAATGAGGTCTGATGTTTATTCTACGCTCTGCCTTGATTCAGTTATTTATTTTGAAAGCACTTGGTTGGGAATTACATAAAGGCATGCCGGTTCATCAGTGTAACCCCAGCACTCTGGACCTAGGGATTCCTTAGCAGACAGCGTGCTCCGCCACTCTTTGGTAGGCTTTGTACGCATAGCTGCTGCCGAAATTCAGCAGGCTGGTTTACTTGCTGGCCCATGTGTTGGTTTGTGCTTGAGATGAAGGTTGGAAGGGATGTGCCCCTCCTCCGAAGAATTTTAGTGAAATGTGTAATCCAACAAATGTTGATTTTTTTTTTCTCTGTGTCTTCTTTTCCAAGGATGATATCGAAAATGCCAAGTACATTTCTCGGTTGTTTGCCACACGACACAAGTTTTACAAACAAAACAAAATCTGCACGGAGTAAGTAAACATTTAGTCCCCTGCCTGGATGGCTTTGTCACATTATATTCATGTCCCTTTGGGGTGTTGTGTATCGCTTTTCCTATTCACTCTTTTTCCTTGTTTCTCGTAGAAGCTAAAGAAGTAAGCTAAAGCCAGGGCAGGAGGGAAAACTTTAATGATGAAGACTGTCTGGTGTAGTGCATATGCCCAGAGAGCGAATAATTCACAAATTGACTGTGAATGCTTGGCTGCCTGGTTGGGTTGGCCCACATTAGCGCCTTTCCAACCCTCTGCTAGGAGTTTGGAGGAGTGGAGCAGTTCCCAATTTGCCAGGGTGCCCCTTCGTGTCAGACGCGGAGTGTGTTCAGAAGTGGGTAACAGAGTGATGAGCTAGCTTGAAAGAGAAGACGCTCTGTCATCCTCAGCCCCGTGTCGCTTACACAGTTGGCTAACCCTGCGTGTGCTCCTGGGTCATGTCATCTGACTGTAAATGAGAGGCCAGGGTAATTAGAGGAAGATGTGGAAGACACTCATAGGTGTCCCAAATCCGTGTGTATTTTTTTAATTTAATTTGGAAATAAAGAGGAGTGTGATGAGGGCACTTAAATGCGGCCTGACCTCAGATGAAGCGTGCTGGGGCTCACTCTATCATTGTCTTTTTCTTGGTTACCTTCAAAAGACGTTCCTCAGCAGAATACATTCAGCGGTTTGAGCGCCCAATGTGTTTAATTTTGTTTCAAAGAGCATCAGGGTTAGAAATGCAAGAGAAGAACTGCTTTTCCACTCCCACAGTGGACACATCGAGAGTATGTAGAGTATTGTCCTAGAGCAGTTCCTGCGGAAGCACGCGGCTGCTTTATAGCTGGAGCTCCAGGTCATGGCAGACTTTTTTCTCCACACCGCGGAGGCTCTTTTAAGCCAGTCACTGCAATTGGTCACTGTCGGGGTCTGAAAGTATGTCTGATAGTATTAGGCCTACCAGCTTGGTTTGCAAATGTAAATCAGAAGAAGGCCTGATCCGGGAGTGGCAAGTGAAGCCGCCTTACGTTTCTTCTGGACACATTCCTGCATGTGCCCCACCGAATCATTCTCTTGAGCAGGTTCCCTATAGGTCACTTCTGTGTATTTCTACTCTGCTGTTGCCTTTGACTTGTGGGGCTGTCTTTGACATGAACAGGAATGCTATCCTTGTTCTTCTGTAAGGTGAATTTAAAAACTGAGAAGTGGATTTCACTCTTGTCTTCTGACCTAACCACAGCTCAGCAAATGGCTTTACTGTAAAATTTATAGATTGTTTATTTTTGTTTGTGGTCTTTTCCTCCAGTATTAGTGAACGTCACATATTAGTCTGAAAACTAAGAAGAAATTCTGTTTCTCAGTTCTGTTTCTGCAATAACCACTCCTTTCCTCCTCCTAACCAGGTATAAGAAGTTCCTAACCTCTTACCTGATTAAAATCTGGGGCATACTCTCAAAATTACACACACACACACACACACACACACACACACACACACACGTCTCTCTCTCCCTCTCTCCCTCCCTCCATGCATGCACAGCAGCATCCTTCTCCAGAGGGTGTTACTCTCTGACCTATAAAAGATCATTATTGACTTTTCTGCTCCTGCAGAGCTGCTGCATTGTCTTCTGGAGGTAATAACTCCCTTGAGTGGCTCCTTGATTTTTTGGCACAAGGAGAAAAATTAGGGGGGAGTATGTATAACATAGGTCTGATAATATGTTTAGCCAGTCATTAAAAAACCCGCTGCTGCTCTATTACCTCCGTCATTTCATTAAAGGTATTTTATCACCAAAAAAGTAGGAAGGATGAAATCTCCAGAATAGAGAGAGTCCTTTAAATTGAAGAACTTAGCTTAATGAAAAACTGTACATGTCCTGGTTTTTGTTTTGTTTTATGGTAACACTGAGAACGAGGAAAAATGTTAGAGCATTTGGGACCCATTGCTTGAAGGCATCTTTGATTTCAACTCTCAAGAATTTGCTAATACTTCCAGTTCATTTTTTAATCACTACATTAAAAAATATGTTGGTTCTTAGTCTGGAAAATACCCGATTAGATAAATATTTGTAAAATGTATTATCTTAATAGAAAGTACCTTTATATGGTTACACTAAAAATATTGTATCTATTTTAGATTTCCATTTGACTGGAAGCATTTTTAAAATATTTTTTCTTGCATTTTTTAAAAACTGAAAGATTTTACATATATACAACTGTACAAAGAGTACAGTTTTAAAAAATCCACGTAATAATTGTGATATTTTTCAGTCTTGCTTATTTCCCTCAGTGTTTCTATAGAAATAAGCCCCCATCTGTTTAATATTACTTTGCAAAACTTATTCTAAAAGTATCTTATCCAAACATTTTGAAAATAAAAACAAAGGAAATAGAAATTGTTCTTAGTGTTACTGCCGAGAAATAAGCCATGTTTATGTTTTCATGTAATGATTACCAATCTTATTTATTTTCTTCCTCTCCTCTTGTCTATTATACTATCAATAATAATGGCTATTCTTATTTTTTTCACCTCTTCATGTAGACAGTCAAATTCTCCACCTCCCATCAGACGCCAGCCCACCTGGAGCCGGTCCTCTCTGGTATGTAGAGAAGCTGCAGCGATCAAGTGATCTGACTGTTGAGCATTCTTTGTTGTTAACTTGAGGCGGGGGAACATGAGGGCATCATGATGAGGTGAAATTTTGTGATAACACAGAGGCATCATTCTGTCAAGCAGGTGTGATGCACACCCATTTTATCTGCCTTGGAACCGTCCGTGCCCATCACTATTCTAAGCATGGCTGAGGGTTTACCCTGTGAGTAGGTCTTATTCCAGGCCCATGGGACCATGTTCCCTCAGCATATAGTCCATGGTGTGTTTTCATCCCCTTGCTCATCTGTTCTAGTTGTTGTGTGAATACGCATCTTCAGTTGCGAGCTCCACAAATACGTTTGCGTTCACTGCCATGGAGAGAGTTTAATAAACTAGTGAGAAAATGCCTTCTAAATGAGCAAAAATTGGATGGATCTAGTGGATGGTCTCAGGCAGAGTATCTGATGGGGAAAGTTGATTGCATATTTCCTAAATTTAGGCTTTAAAAAAATCAGATTTCCAAAGCATTTCCCTAATTTTAGGCATTAATTAGCCAACAGAGTTTGAATTGACCTAGCCTTGGCTGCTGCCCCCTTTTTTTGTTTGTTTTTAGTTTTTTTAAAGCTGCTGTCCTCATCATGTGAATAAGGAAACACAATTTCAATGCATGTGTTGTGTCTTAGGCTGTGTTTTATTTTGAGGATTACTCAAGGATAATAGAAAAAAGATGTTAAGAGTTGGTTTCCTTTAATGTTTTCCGCTTGTTTTAACTCACAGTTCTTTAATTTTAGGTTATGATTTTTTTTACACAAAATCAAAACTTATAGCCTTTTAACTTTTCTAGATCAACAATTCTTTCAAGTTGATAGAATGCAATTGAATTTTTCTTCATAGTCAGTGTATACCCTGTAGCATGTCTTTAACTTCTCTTTTGAAGGGACGCACAGTATCTCACATGTGGTCCCTTGCTCTGGAGATTTAAGGGATACCTTGGGCTTTCCCCTAAGTACCAATAGATTTGTTCATGGCACTGATTTCTTTATTATTCTCCTTTATGAACGTTATCTTCCTTTTTCCTTCTTTAGAGTATAGATGTCTTTATTAGCAAAATAATTTTTCATTTACGCCCTTGAAACCCCACGGGAGGCAAAGTGTTTTAAAGCTCTCTTGTGATCGTATCTTGTCCTCATTATCCAGAGAGGATGCTGAGGCTTACCTGTTTTATTTGGATGAAAACAGTTTACAGGAAGTCTGATCCAATTCATGGCTTCCTCCTTTCCCCTGTCCTTTAGGTTTAAACCATTTCACCAAGAGTTTCTTATGATGAGTGAGTAAGACCAGATGACGTTGTCTCTTGGCTTCCTTGCTGATAACTGTTTTTCGTCTGCCCTCTCCTATCTATATTTTGGCGTCGACTTTGTTTCTGTATTAGCCTGTCTGGAAAGAAATGGAATAATGTATTAGAATATATAAAGAGATGAAATAAATACTATAATCCTGAAATGATGTTTCAGGGATTAGCTATTATTGTCCTTTGACAATGCTGTTTATGAACTGGTATAAGTCTGCTCATTTATGTCAGTTCATAAACCATAACTTACTTATTAGATTATTTTAAATAAGGCAAGAAAAGACAGCAAACCAACTTTGTCTTGCCATGTATTTCTATTCCTTTGTACAAATCCCTCCCCACTGTGTTTCTCTTTAGAGCCTTAAAATGGCTGTGCTACCATGGAAAAATTGAGTTGAATTTTTATGTATTGCCAAGAAAAGGAAAAATATTTTTAAATTGCAACTCAAAAATCAGCCAAAGGGAGACTTGGGAATGTAGCACCTTTTCTTTTGTCACCCAAACTGCTTTCTTAGATGTATTTAATTTCAGTTCTTCATTTCTTCTGTCTTGATTCCTTTTAATTCTTAGATCCCTTTTTTAATTACCCCTTTGATGATCAAGCATTGTTTGTGGCAGAGGAAATGATAGGTGAGTTATTCACCCAGGTTCAAGCTCTTGGCCAGTGTATTTCTTCCATTGAGAGATGCTGAGAAAGTGTGACCCCTGCTGGATTTGGGTTTTTTGGTTTGAGCTCAGATTCTTCTCTTTTAAAATAGTAACCTTTGAAATACATCTGTAAGGCTAACAGAAATATAAGAGATTGGCTGGGCACGGTGGCTCATACCTGTGAACCCAGCACTTTGGGAGGCCAAGGCGAGTGGATCACCTGAGGTCAAGAGTTCAAGACCAGCCTGGCCAACACGGTGAAACCCCATCTCTACAAAAAATACAAAAACTAGCTAGCCATGGTGGCGCAGC